GGGCGAAGCTTGGGCGGAGGAGCCGGTCGCTCGGCAGGCTGAGACGAGGCCGGGACACCCCGAGGGCGTGCGATCCACCACCCCCGCGGCTCTGCTGCCTTCCTCGGGAGTCTGCCACCGCCGACGCTCATCGCTTCTGCTGCCCCGAACGCCACAGAGCAGTAACACCGAGGCTGAGGCCGCTCTGGCCGCTGGGGCAGCTACAACAGCTTCGTTTTAAACATTTACTATGGCAAAGCCAGGGAAAGCGACTCCTAAATCCTCACAATCGGCTAAATCTTTTGTTCTGGACTAGAAAGATATTTCATCCTCGAATTTCCTCTGGCCAACTCCCCAATCGCCCCCATCCAGCAGTCGCTGTGTGGCTCAATAGCGTGACATTGAGTGCCAGGGAGAACCTGTCTGTGCTCGAACGCTCTTCGCTCCCGCTGCTGACAACGTCCCGGCTTCAACCGGGGAGTGACGGCCGCCCGAGGAGCACGGATGCTCGGCGTTTACTCAAACGCAGCCTCTGCGCAGGCGAGCCGACGGGAAGCCAGCGCTGCGGTATTTAGAGACGCCTGGACTGCAAGAGCGATGGGCAGCACCGGCCGAGGATGAGTAGCTCGATGAAGACACGAAGCCCTGGCTGGCTGAAAACACACCGCACCAGCCCAAAACACAAACTGTCGCGGCAGCGCAGGGAGCAGCTTTTTGCTGCTCACAGGGCCCGGGCGAGAACGGCGTCCCAGGCCGCAGCAGCACGCAGGTCTCTGGCTCCGGGTGGGCGATGTCAAGATCTGGCATGGGCAGAGCCACTTTTTAACAACCTCACACTCCAGCCCGGGAGCTGCAGGAGATGCAGGGTCAGACAAGGGACCACACGGATGGGGAAAACCAGGCGTGGGGTTTGTTTCATAGGGAGCGAACTCTGCGTTCCGCAGCCCAGCGTGGCACAGGCTCAGCAGCGTCTCTCGCAGCGGAGCGAGCACAGGCAGGCTGAGGGCGACGCGGCCAGCACCCAGCCTTGGGAAGGCTCCAGCCCGGGAGCTGCAGGAGATGCAGGGTCAGACAAGGGACCACACGGATGGGGAAAACCAGGCGTGGGGTTTGTTTCATAGGGAGCGAACTCTGCGTTCCGCAGCCCAGCGTGGCACAGGCTCAGCAGCGTCTCTCGCAGCGGAGCGAGCACAGGCAGGCTGAGGGCGACGCGGCCAGCACCCAGCCTTGGGAAGGGCAAACTTGGCTTTGCTCGAAGCATCACCCGCTGCCAGGACGTGGCGGCAGGAGCCCCGGCCAAAAGGCACAGCTGCATCGGGAAAATCCAGGGGTTGTTTAGACACTGTCAGCTATCCGGCACGGCGCAGGAGGCGAACACATTGCTGCCCAACGCAAGGGCCGGTCGTCACATCTTAATGCTGAGGGTGACGGAGCCCTGGCCCAGGCTGCCCAGGGAGGCTGTGGAGTCTCCTTCTCTGGAGATATTCCAGCCCCGCCTGGACGCGGTGCTGTGCAGCCTGCTCTGGGTGACCCTGCTTGGGCAGGGGGCTGGGCTGGGTGACCCACAGA